TTATCTATTGATTCCATCCTAAAAAGTATTCAGTTAACCCAAAAGACAGGAAAGAAAAATACTCAACAAAGAAAAGATGTAAAACTGGTAGACCTAAATTCAACCATGTCAATAATTATACTAAATGTAAATGGACTAAAAACTCAAAAGGAAGAGAATGTCAGATTTGATAAGCAAGTCCCAATTATATGATGTCTACAAGAGACATAATTTATATCCATAGATACAAATATGTTGAAATTTAATGATGTAAAAAATATACTATATAGCCAGTAAGCACTAGAAACCTGAAGTAGGTATATTAGCATCATAAAATAATAGACTTTAAGAAGAAATTTTACTGGAGACAAAAAAGGATATTGCATAATGATAAAAAAGTCAATTCTTCAGAAAGGTATAACAATCATAAATGTGTATTCACCTAATAATAGAACCACAAAATACATGAAGTAAAAACTGACAAAACTGAAAAGAGAAATCTATCATCATAGTTGAAGATTTTAATAACCTTCTCTCAGCAACTCCTAGAATAGGCAGACTCCACCTACCACGGCTGCCGCACCCCCAACCCCTGCAAAAAAAAAAAAAAAAGAAAAATCATCCTTTTGGTTCTTTTTCTCTGGAGAACCCTGATTGATCCATATTTTGACACAGAGTGGTTCTAGAGGAATAGAGTCTTAAGGATGAGTTTTTTGAATTGGTTGGAGTTTCTGAAATTAGTTTTTTAACTAGATTTAAAGACAACAATGACTCTACTTTCAGTGGCAAAGAGGACACTGATAGCCCATGGCAAAATGTGGCAATACAGAAATGCAAAATATCCCCACTGGACATTCCTAATCAAATATTTATAAAAGGCAAGAATCTGGATGACCATGTATTTGACATCTTAGAAATTTTTGTCAAACTAATGAGTATAATGCGATTGGCTGGTTGCTTCTAACTGTGCTAGAGAAAGTGGGGATAGAAATGAATGAGTTGAGTGGCAGAGGAGGATTAAACATACATGATGCAAGCGACTTAGTCTATAAGCATTCATCATGTTACTATCCTTCAATAGAACTGTTCTGATTAAACTTTTTATGCATCTAGTATTTCTCATTTCAAAGAGTAACTGGTTTCTTTTCAAACTATTATAAAAAACCACAGTGCATTTAACTGATTTAATGAAATTTAATGCCTTACTTTAAATCCTAAGAGGAGAAAATCCCCTTTGAAAGAAATCTTTGCTGAGATGGCATAAAAGCAGAGGTCTGGTCTGTAGTAATATTGATGATCACGATTGTGTTATGATACACAACCCAAACAGTCAAGTCAACTCTTGCTACTTTGGGTAAAATTTGAGTTTTTCATTAGAGTAAAATCATTTCTGACATTTCATAAGGCTTAAATGCAAACAGAAATGATTAATTACATTCATAAGTATGCAAACTTATATTCAAACCATGATATTAAAAAGGTATATTCGAGACAAAATGACAAAACTCGAATTTTTTAAAGGCCAAGAATGATTTTATGTAGCAAGTTTTGTTTATTCAGTAACGTAATAATAAAATAGGAATATTACATTGATAGACTACAGGAATTAAAGAGCATAAAATGTTATTTTAAAACAAAACAATGAGATCATTTGCAAGAGTCTTATTAAAAAAGTCTTTAATTTACAATGCCACTCTTTAATGACTATTAGGATTAATATATGGCTTTCCTGTGATAAAAAAGTCACGGTACTTGAGTATTACATACATTCAATTGCATATGACAAACACTATTATAAACATAAACTGTCCTGATTTTTTAAACAATTATTTTCAGCTCATTTAATGCCTTGTCTAAATAGCTTTAAGAGAAATAAAGAGCAAACAATTATATATCATTAATCAATTCCCAAATACATTTTAACCTATTAAATTAGAACACTGCTGTTAATATGCAAAACTAGCTTGAAATCATGATTCTTGATCAAATATAAACTCCAACACCTCTCCCGAGACTTCAGTGAAGACTGTTTTCACTTCCCAGGTAGTTTTAAAAAAGTAGCCTGGGGGTGAATCACCAAAACATTCAGAAACACAGCCAAAACAAAGAGTTTGATTTCAAAGACCAAATTCAGAATACAAAACAACAATTTTCTACATGACATTAATAATTGGTGCTTTGTCAAAATCTTAAACATAAATGATATATGATATTAACAGTACACATGCATGAAACCCAATAAAAATGGGACGTGTGGGAAATTACTGCTTAACTTAAAGGGAAAATGTCACTGTTAGATTCCTGTTTGGGGCTAGAATTGCGGTCTTGGGTTTTTTGATTCCCTAGCCTTGGTGACGCTGTGGAATCTCTTGTGTTTTCCATATAGACATTTCGGACAAACTCTAAAATTTGAGAGAACACTTAAAATAAAACTTTCACTTAGATGGTAAAATACATTAATCTTAATATTATATAAATAGAGCAAATCTGATTTATTTATTGAACAAGCACTATATTCTGAACCACCCAATTCAAATTAAATATAACTCTGTGGCCAACAATTCATTATTCTCATTAGGCAATCAATGTTACCTTCAATAAGGCAATTCCCACTTAGCCTTTGGCAGTTGTAGCTGTCTTTAAAACAAATTTCTAAACCTGTAAACCTCAATCATATAAAAGGAAATGATTTCCTCGGCTGGTGGTTAAAGAAATCTGTAATAAAGATGCATGCTAAAGAGAATACGAACTCTTAAGAAGTGTCATCTAATTAACAGAGCTCCCCCTTCCAACCCACCCATATTCAGTGATCTTAGAAACCAAAATATAAACGGAAAAAAAAGAATCTATGAAATTAAAGGTACAAAATTCTGCTATGCTCCTCAAACTCTTTCTTCTTATTTCCAGAATGGGAATGGATTAGAGATAACAGAATATTACTTTTTTCTTTAGAGGAAAGTAGATTTAAAAGTATTTATACTTCTAAAACTCTTTACAGTGTTGATTAATCCTTACCAGTTAATAAGTTAAGACATTGCATTCATCTGAACATACATATTAAGCTAGAAAATCTGTAAAACATGATATATACCACCAGCAAACCAATTAGTAAAGTATAACACAAAAATGAACATGATATATATGTGAATAAAAGCAATTTTAATAAGAAAATTTATCATCTTTATAAAAAAAGTTTTCCATTTTAAGCATCATAATTCCTCAACAAGCACATTTAAAATACTATCAATAAATGTGTTTACAATTTCAAGTGAAGGCCATTGAATCTTCTTCATTGGGAATATTTGCTTTCAGTCATCTTTTTTGTCTGAAGTACTTTCTTCATGATTTTCAGGACTGACTTTATTACTTGCAATGGAGGGAGTTGCCCGGACTTCTTCTGGTAATGAAAACACAAGGCATGTCTGGAGGTCTAGATATGTTGTAAATATTTTAGCATATTCTGGATGCTTTAAGGCAAAACTTTTAAATTCCTCTAGAAAAGGAGAAAAAAAAAAACCAAATCCAATAAATTGGGGTGAATCTCCTTTTAGCGTGACGCAGATTAACATATGACCTTAATAATACAATTATTGCAAAATTCTTACTCAACTCACAATCACTGCTACTGGGAATATAAATTGTAAAACCACTTTGGAAAGTGGTTTTTCCATTATCTAGTTAAGTTGATGGTGTACATACTCGATGACTCATTAATTTTACTCCTAGTTACTTATCTAAGAGACGTGTGCATACGGTGCTCAGAAGACATGTACAAGACACTTTACTGAGTATCTTGTACTTGTCTACTGAATGTTTATAGCAGCATTATTCCTAACAGTCAAAAAAAGGGAAACAAACTGAAGTGTCTGTCAACAGCAGAAATAGATAAATTGTGGCATATGAGTGTAATATAATGTTATATAACAATGGAAATGAATGAACAGCCGTGTTGCAACAATGTGGATGAATCTCAAAGCCATAATGTTGAATGAAGAAAGCCAAACACAAAAGAGGAAATGCTGTATGATCCCATTTATATAAAGTTCAAAAACTTAGGGAAAACTAAAATACAATATTTAAGGATGCATATGTTTGTGGTAAAACTCTAAAGAAAGGCAAAGGCAGGGATTCCTTTTCAAGTCAGGGCAGTGTTCCCTCCCTGAACAGAAAGGAAGGGGTTGTGGTTGAGAAGGGGGACAAGGGGTTTCTGGGGTTCTGGAAAAGCTCTATTTCTTGATCTGAGTGGTAGCTACCAGGTGTTTGCTTTGTAAAACTTCATTATGCTCCACATTTATGTTTTATTCAGTGTTCTGTATTTTTTGTCATTTTTCACAATACAAAAGGTTTAAAAATCTATTACCAAGGACAGTAAAAAATTATATCTGGTTTTTTACATTATTTTAACCCTTATCTCTGGTACATAAAATCATGAAAAGCTGAGCTCTGACTTAACGATCAATAATGGCTAGCAGAGTGTACAATATGTAATAATCATACCACAAAACCTCTGAGTAGAAGAAGACCTTTTTTATCTCAAGTATTTTAGAGTTAGGAACTGAGATAGAAATATAGAAGGCTTACTTTGTTAAGTATCAGGGTTTGAACCTCAAGCCTCCAATAACCTGGAGTTTCTAAAATATGATGCTGCCCTCAGCTTTGAAATTTCTCTGTTTTCTTCTGATTGGGTGGAGGAAACTTCATTGAGTTTGTAGAACAAAGGGAGCATTATCTTTGAATCAGCTCGCTACTTGGCTCCATAATAAAAGGATTTTAGCCCAATGTCCTTTTTGTAACCATTTATTTTTTTTTAATTCTCTGATAACCAAGAGTCTACTTTATTCTTCTGGTACATTAGACTAACAATTTGTGAAGACAAAAACTAGGTCTTAGTGATGAGGAGTCCCTGGGTGGCACAAATAGAGAAATACATAGCTACTAACTGAAAGGTTGGTGGTTCAAACTCACCCAGAGGTGCCTTGGAAGAAAGTCCTGTTGATTTGCTTCTGAAAGGACACAGCCTTGAAAACCCTATAGAGTGCAGTTCTCCTCTGCATACATGGGGTTGCCATGAGTCAGAATCGACTATACAGCAATTGATATGGCTTTTTTTTTTTTTAAAGCGATAAAGAAGTCACTAGATTCAGCCAAATCATTCTTTGCAATTGCAACATTATTTTGCATTAATAGGCCACTTTATATTTCCAAATCGGACAAGCTGTTAATTGTTTCTTCTTAGAATCCAAAATAAAAGTTCATCTCCATGAACCTATTTCACTGATTGAGACACTGAGAACTGAAGATAAGTCACCATGAGAACTGACCTACTGAAATCAAGATTTTTAATTTCAAGACGTGTGCTTATTCAAAAGATCAAGGGCCCTGTCCTCTGCTGGTATGTCAGTGACCTTAAAGAGTAACTCATTTCTAGAAGTTTCCTGTGAACTAGCTGTAAGTGGAATTTGGGCATTAATTTGGCTAATGTAAAGCTAAGAGCAAAAACAATGTAAAATATCACATTTAAACAATTTAAATGGCCATATTCATGGCACATGTCAATACATATTCTTTTATAAAATTCATACTTAAATACCTCAAACATTCCTCCACTGTACCAAAAGCAGACTTGCATAATATTAGGGAAAGGGAGATATTCTGTGTATTCTGAAAACGGCTGGACTCCAAAGAACAAAGGAGATTTCCCTAAAAAATTATTATACTTGACAGGTAAAATGATGACTATCTACAAATCATTTGTAGTCTTAGCTTCCATTGAAAAATTTCTCCAAAATAGTTTTTCAAAATTTGGAAGTTCAGAGTAATAGAATGTCTCACTAATCAAAGGAAAATTGTCAGAAAAAGAATTAGTACTCATGGGGTTTATGACTCATATGTTTTGTCTCAGTATATACTTCATCATTTTATAATGTCTTATTTTTTAACAAATGAACTCAACAGAGTAAGTGCCCTAGGCACCTAATTATCTAAAACAGACTAATAAAGGGCAGCCAAAATGACAGTAATTAAAAACAGAGAGCAAAGGAAGTATGTGATCTAATTTCCCCATCCCACGAAAGTTAACAAGCTGAAACTCTTTGAACACCATTTAAAAAAAAACATTCAAGACAAATCCCCCTCCAGCCTGAGGGAAAAGATGGGAAATGAGAGGCAAATCTGTCATCTAGACCACAACAAAGCTAAGGAAGGGAGACCATCATCTAGGCCTCTCCACTGAGGTGTGCTTCTCAATAAATGACTGCACTGTGAAATATATGGAAACTGACCCTTCAGCCATATGGACTTGTTTTGATGTGTGGATTCAAGCCACCAGGAGAAAGGTCAGTCACTGATGGATGGACCTGCCACTTTGCCACAGGGTTTTCCTCCATAATAGTGCCTACCTCACAGAGGCTGCTACGAAGATGACATAAATAAGGAATGTAAAAGCTTACACAAGTAAACACTCAATAAATGTGGTAGCTACTGTTATTACTGGATATCTGTCCATATCCCTGTACTGTGACTACAACCCAGGTTAGTTAACTTGCTCAGCTGAGCCTGACCACACTTACAGCAGAAAAGAAAAGACCCTCAAGGAAGGCAGCATACTTGAGAGATATGAGACGAAGTTAAGGTTCTAAAGCCAGACTGACTCAGGCTTTTCACACTGGCTCTGTCATTCTCTAGCTGGGTGATCTTAGGTAAGCTACTTAAACTCTTTGTATCTCAGTAAAGTAAGAATACTATACTGATTAAATAGGCTTGCTGTAAAGATTAAATGAGTTAATATATGTAAAATGTTTAGAAGAATGGTTAGCATATGGTAAGTCCTCAATAATTTGCTACTACTATTACTATTATACCTCTACTACTATTATTAGTATTACTATTAATATAATAATAATTAACATAATGAGTATATACCTCTACTACTACTATTATTAATATAATTAACATATGTAATATAATTAGTTGAAAAAAGCAACACTCTTTTATGTAGGCCAAATTTGCTACTCACCATAGGAAACAGAATCCCCTTGGGCTATCTCCTTGAAGAGACCAGAAACATCAAGGGCAGGCACTCCAAGGGAAGCCTGCAGAATGGTGGAAAACTCTTCCTCTGTTATGTAGCCATCCTCATCAACATCAAAGAGCTGAAGGAAAGAGAAAATGAAATATAAGAAATAGCTCCTGCAGAGCAATAATGGTATGGAAAATAAACTCTTTAATAATTCAATCATTTACTGTGCCAGGGACCAGAGATACATTTGTGAAGAAAGACAGAATTAAAATAGGGGCAATAACAATATTAAGTATAGCCTGTGGAGACCATAATGAATCCTACCCAGAGAGGTCATGGAAGTAGCATAACAGAGATAACTGATGGATAGTTAATAGAGACATCTGAGTTGGGTCTTAGAGCATGACAAGACATTCAGAATATACAAGGAATGGCAGGTGATAGTCTGGGGCTCAAGGCAGGAGACTGAGGACAAGCAGGAACCAGATCATGGTAGATAAACGCCACAACTAGTCCTTTAGGTAACGGGAAGGACATAGTGTGATCCTGTGTGAGTTGAGGGAGCTGCCTTGGGCAGAGTGTGGAAGATGGATTAGGGCAGGAGGTTGGTGAAAATAGAGGCAGAAAAACCAATTAAGAGTCTGATATGGAGAAGCAGGGAAAGATAGGAAGGAACAGAATTTATAAGCAAAGGTAGGCCTTGCAATCAATTAGATGTCTATCGCTGTGAGTTGGAATTGACTTGACAGCACCCAAGAACAACAACAGTGATGGAAAGGAAGGAGCCAAGGATGGCTGAAAATTTTAAAGAAAAACAAGATGGCTGAGGTTTCCTAGCTTGGGCAACTGAGTGGAAGCAAGTTACATTAGCCAAGAGAAGGAGAACAGTCAGAAGAACAGGTGCCAAGATGAGATCAAGAGTTAGACCTGGATAGGTGAAATTTGAGTTAAAGGTGACAGGAGGAAGTAAGAACTTCAGCATATCAGCTCAGGACACTGATGAGGCTTGAGATATGAATTCAGGTAAAAACTGAACCTATGAGTGTGTTTGAGCTTATCTGTAGAGAATGTATAAAGTAAGGCAAAGCCCTGGGAATAACAACAACAGTACATGTAGAGAAGAAGAACTGGCAAAGATGACTTAGAAGCAGCAGCCAGGGAGACAGAAGAAGAACCAAGAAAGAATAGCAGGCATCCTGGAACCTAAGGGAGGGTTTTCAGGAAAGAGGAAGAGACTCTGACAGTGGTAACATCCAGCAGAGTAAAACGCCATAGAAAGGCCAAGTGAGGAGCAAAATGATTTGCTGGATTTGATAATTAGGAGGTCGTGATGACTTTAGCAAACACTTTCAAGGACCTCGAAGCCAGATGGTAATGGAATTAAGGAATGAACAGAGGTGAAAAACAGAGACAACAAGTAATGGACTCTTCTTTCCAGAAAGTATGGAACAAAAGGAAGGAGATAAATAAAGTGATAGCCAGGAGTACAAATGTCTTTAGGGAGAGAGAGACTGAATGTGTTTACAGGAGGAGGCCAAAAAGGCAGTAAGGTGGGATGGACTGAAAGTCAAGTAGCAAAACAGAGATAACTGATGCATAGTTAGTATCTCATATTCAAAATCCTCTCCTGAGCATTAAGAATTTTAGTGATATAAGCACTTACTCTTTGCAGGCACTGATCAAAAATGTTCAAATCACATTACATGTCTTAATCCTTTAACCCTCACGATAGTCATATGTAAGGTAGGTGCCATTATTAGCCCTATCTTACAGACAAGAAAGCTGAGGCACCTGGAAGTTAGGTAACTTTCCCAGTGTTACATAACTAATAAGTGGTAGAGTTGGTATCTAAATCCAGGCAGATAATATCTAGAGTTCCTGCTGTTAGGTATCTACTTTTGACCAAGTACAGCAAAAGCAGAAAGATAGGCATCAGAGATAATGGTATAACCATGAAAAGAACAACAAGCAAATACTGAGTAGTGTTTTAATTGCTCATGAGAGTTGGAGGAAAAATATAACTTGATGTTTGCTGCCCCCAGCTGAGAAAGCACTGGCTTCTAGTCTATTTCCTGCTAATGGGGGATAAGATAGTTGGAGAGTGAAAGCGAATTAGCATTTCTTTTCATAAACTGTATCCCCAGGGCTCTTTATGGGCCTTGGACTTCAAACAGTAATTGCCAAGACTCCATCACATCCCCCTCCTCACAGGCTCTACGCTTCCTTCAAAGGTATATTACAGTTTCACCTTCTGTCCCTAAACAATTCTTACCAACTCATCTTAATCTAAATTCTTGCTACTTTTGGTGCGTTGGTGGCTCTCACTTCTATGTAAGTTCCCTCCTTATGTCCATCCTGTTACTTCTTCTACATCCGTCCTTTGCCACAACTGCCCCAGATCACTTCCTCAATTGCCCTCATCTACTCATCACTCTCAACAGTCTCCCTGCTACAAAGTTCCCAGACCTAAGGTGACTAACTAACCCACTGCCACTGAGTCAATTCTGACTCATAGCAACCCTATAGGACAGAGTAGAATTGCCCCATAGGGTTTTTAATGCTATAAGTATTTACAGAAGCAAACTGCCATATCTTTCTCCCAGCTGGTGGATTCGAACCGCTGACCTCTTGGTCAAACACTTAACCTCTGTGCCACCAGGGATCATTAGACCTAAGGTAAGCTCCATGGTTCGGACTCGGGTACGATGTTTAACCAAAAGTCCCCACAACTAGACCAATAGGCAACATCATGATAAATGGAGAAAATACTAAAGTTGTCAAGGATTTCATTTTACTTGGATCCACCATCAATGCCCTGGAAGCAGCAGTCAAGAAGTCAAACAATGTATTGCATTCGGCAAATCTGCTGCAAAAGACCTCTTTAAAGTGTTAAAAAGCACAGATGTCACCTTGAGGATTAAGGTGTGCCTGCCCAAGCCATAGTATTTTCAGTATCCTCATATTCATGTGAAAGCTAGACAATGAATAAGGAAGACTGAAGAAGAATTGATGCCTTTGAATTATGGTGCTGGCAAAGAATATTGAATATACCATGAACTGCCAGAAGAACAAACAAATCTGTCTTGGAAGAAGTACAGCCAGAGTGCTCCTTGGAAGCAAGGATGGCGAGATTCGTCTCATGTACTTTGGACATGTTACCAGGAGGGATCAGTTCCTAGAGAAGGACATCAGGCTCAATCAGCAAAAGAGAGGAAGACTCTCTACAAAATGGACTGACACAGTGGCTGCAATAATGGGCTCAACCATAGCAACAACTGAAGGATGGTGCAAGACCCAGCAGTGTTCCATTCTGTTGTACACAGGGTCGCTATGAGTCGGAACTGACTCAATGGCACCTAACAACAACAACAGGAAGTGTAACACTGTTTCTTTGGGGGGAATAATATCTCCAGTAACTCTCCATTGCAAAGGATACTGTGAGACTCTTAATCAAAACATCCTGCCTTTCCATAACGTAGTTTATAAAGAAAATATTCGACATTCTACTTTGGTGAGTAGCATCTGGGGTCTTAAAAGCTTGGGAGTGGCTATCTAAGATACTCCACAGGTCTTACCCGGTCTGGAGCAAGGGAGAATGAAGAAAACCAAAGATTCAAGGAAAACATTAGTCCAAATAACTAATGGACCACAAGTACTACAGCCTGTACCAGACTAAGTCCAGCGTAACTAGATGATGCCTGGCTACCACCATTGACTGCTCTGTCAGGGATCACAACAGAGAGAGAGTCCCAGACAGAGCTAGAGAAAAATGCAGAACAAAATTCTAACTCACAAAAAAAAAAAAAGACCAGACTTGCTGGTATGACAGAGACCGGAGAAAACCCCAAGCGTATGCCCCCCCCAGACACCCTATTAGCTCAGCAGTGAAGTCACTCCTGAGGTTCACTCTTCAGCCAAAGATTAGACAGGCCCATAAAACAAAGTGAGACTAAATGGGCACACCAGCCCAGGGGCAAGGATGAGAAGGCAGGAGGGGACGTGAAAGCTGGTAATAGGGAATCCGAGGTCGAGAAGGGGAGAGTGTTGACATGTCATGGGGTTGGCAATCAATGTCACAAAACAGTAAGTGTATTAATTGTTTAATGAGAAGCTAGTTTGTTTTGTAAACCTTCATCTAAAGTACAATTAAAAAAACAAAAAAATGCTGCCTTTCCTAGCGGGCACTTGGCCCAAGACCATTTGGACCCTCACTGGAATTTGAATTACAAACAGAGTTAGAGTTTGCTCATTCCAACTGCAGGCCCAAGGGAGTTCCCGTAACTGGGACCCATGGAGCAGGCTGGTTCTGAACCTTCCCTTGCACCTACTCCACAGTCCTCTTTGGCTCCACTCAGCCAGAGTCTATTCCTATTGTTTGCAACTAAAGAACTCAAATAATATTTTACCACTAACAGTCACTCCGAAGATGAAATGAGATAAAAAATGGGAAGTATTTTGTTCACTGTCAAGTGCTACCCAATAAAATAATGTAAAAGGATCCTATATGTAAAAGGATACTCTTAACTGAAAAATAAAAGCATGCAAAAAAACATTTCCAAAAACATAAAACACACCTGAAAAGCAAAATTAAAAAATAACCAATATAAAGCATGACATTTGCCTTATTGGAAATAGAGCTAATTACAATTTTAGGTCCTCATTTCCTCCCTTTCTCTACCCGCAAACCAAGATCTAGGCTAGACAGAAATCTCATGACTTCTCTAAAAGCAATGATTACTGTGACTGAGGGCCAAATTTTCTATCAGGCCTTTCATTGGTAAATCAAAAGTGACCATTTACCCAACTAAACTTATAATTACACATACCATCCCAAAACAGAAACAGAAATGTTTGAATCAGAATAAGTTAGCTATGTGTGTAATTTTAGGTTTATGATGAATAAGTCTGTAAAAACCAAAGATTTTAAACTTGGAAAAAGTTCTGGCCGCTGCCTTATGGCCATCTGCTAAGCATCAACCACTTAGGTTGTTTGGGTCTAGCAGTAACTTGGTTTAAACCAATGTGAAATAAAAAAGTAAACTCAGGCACTCTTTTGTCAATCACAGAAGAACACATGAAAATTCCTTAAGCTGTGCCGGTTGGTCTTGAAGACCTAAGAAATGACTCTTGGAGGAAGAGTCTCTCTACATAATAGAGCAAAGAAGTCTTGTCAGAATTACAGTGTGTTACGGATTGAATTGTATCCCCCCAAAACATGTGCTGGAATCCTAACCCCTATGCCTGTGGATGTAATTCCACTTAGGAATAGAGTTTTCTTTGTTATGTTAATGAGGCCATATCAGTGTCTTAAATCTCCTCACTTTTGGATATGAAAAGAGCAGATTAGGCTGTGGGGACCATGGTCTTGGGGAACATCTAGCTCAACTGGCATAACATAGTTTATAAAGAAAATGTTCTACCTTCTACTTCGGTGGGTAGCTCTGGGGTCTTAACAGCTTGTGAATGGCCACCTAAGATACTCCACTGGTCTCACCCCATTGGGAACAAGGGATAACAAAGAAAACCAAAGACACAAGGGAAAGATTAATACAAACGACTAATGGACCACAACTACCACAGCCTCCACCAGACTGAGTCCAGCACAACCAGATGGTGTCTGGCTACCACCACCGACTGCTCTGACAGGGATCACAGTAGAGGGTGCCAGACAGAGCTGGTGAAAAATGTAGAACAAAATTCTAACTCACAAAAAACGACCAGACTTACTGGCCTGACAGAGACTGAAGAAACCCCAAGAGCATGGCTCCATGACACCTATTTAGCTCAGTAATGAAGTCACTCCTGAGGTTTACCCTTTGGCCGAAGGCTAGACAGGCCCATAAAACAAAATGAGACTAAAGGGGCACACTAGCCCGGGGCAAGGATGAGAAGGCAGAGGGGGACAGGAAAGCTGGTAATAGGGAACCCAAGGTTGAGAAGGCAGAGTATTGACATGTCGTGGGGTTGGTAACCAATGTCACAAAGCAGTATGTGTACTAACTGTTTAATGAGAAGCTAGTTTGTTCTGTAAACCTGCATCTAAAGTACAATTAAAAAAAAAAACAAAAACAACAACAAAAAAACGAGTAGATTAGGCACAGAGAAGCAGGCACGGGGTGAAGATACACGCCACGTGGAGATGACCAAGGAATCAAGGAAAGCCAGGACTACAGAAACTGAACAAGATCTTCCCCCAGAGACAACTAACAGAGAACCTCCCCCTAAAGCCAGTGCCTTGAATTTGGACTTCTAGCATCCTAAACAGTGAGAAAATAAATGTCTGATCTTTAAAACCACTCACTTACATAGTATTTTGGTTATAGCAGCACTAAGAAACTAAGACACAATGGGATATTCTTCTCAGATAAAAGACAGTCTTACCTCAGGAAGAGGTTAATTCCTGAGGTAAGATCAGGAAAGAGGAATAGGAAAGGTCTGCCGCTGGCATGCTGGATGGGAGTAAAGCGACCAAGTGGCTGAACAAGAAGAGGTAATATAAACAAGTTGGTAAGACAAGTAGGGAGTTCCAGTTTTTGATCTGAGAGCTGACCTTACAAGCTTAGAACTCAAAGGGAACATCCCATTTAAATACTAATTAGATGAAGCACCTTTAATCTCATAAGAACTGAAAACACACTTCGGGAATGTATTCTTTCTTCTCCTTTTGCACATGTAGGTAATAAACGGAGTCTATATCAACAATTCAAATTTCCATCAAGTTTTGGTGAGGGCCTGGACCGTAGATTTTATTCATCTGTCCCCAACTTAGATCCCTTTATTGCTATAAAAATGTATGTGATACTACAGGAAAACATACAGGGTGGAAATTTGGGAAATTTATGATGATGTTCACCTGATACTACCCCAACAAAATTAAGTCCATCAGGAAAATACACTTAAAATATCTTTGATCCACAGAGTGAGAAAATAAGGATGGATCAGGACTTTGTGGATGGTGAATTAGGATGATGAATGACAGGTGGTGTTTATTTATAAACCTCACTTTGGGGCTTCAAAATGGGGAGGCTGAAAAGAAATAATTTTTTAAGTTAATTTGTTAAATCAGCTGCTCTTCAATCTTGATGCTGTTAACTATGCTGCTTCCAAAGACTTTTATGCCTAAATGGATACTTGTGTTTTCTTTATTCTCAGTAGCAATTGACTTAATCACATTACTCTCGTATACATGTCACAGCAGATTTATAAACTCATGTAATAGATTCACTGATTTCCAAATAATACACTTAGAGTCAACACTTGTTTGCGAGCCAAACCAAGATGCTTTCACCGGGGCTGACAGTACCTTAAATGCCACCTGGATGATCTCTTCTGTGTTGGCAGGGTTGCACAAGACAGCCAGGCCAATCACATACTCCCGGAAGTCGATACTGCCATCATGGTTCTGTGGAAGGAGGGGAAAAATCAATTAGGAGGGCTACTAACTGAATTATCACTCATCACAGTTCGAAAGGTGAAATTGAGGTATACCATACAGCTCTACATCTTCATGCACTGAGGCTAACTGGAAAAAAGTTCACACTGAAACAGAACAGCAAGCAAGTAGACCACCCATTCATTTTCAGAGGGAAAAATATATTCTCTACTTAGCAATAAAATACAAACATTTTATCACTGAGGCCATTTAGGATGGTCCTACAGCATCCAAAGTGAGTTTTTGAGCTCAGCCCTGATGGGAACCCTGATAGGAAGCAGAATCCAGACCATTCATCCTAGGTGGGATCAAACCATTCATTCCACCATGGATGGTGGCCCTGCCATGATGGCCAACACCAAATACTTTTACATACCAAAGGTCACGAAGCAACACGTGGAAAATGGAAGGAAAAGGAAAAGGGCAAATTGAGGCAATAATCACAGCTACATCCTTTCTTTCTTTCACTTAATCTGCAGTAAACCAGAAGCAGGTAGAGCAAACCTGGGCCACTGAATGGCCCCTTGGGAATATCAGACCAAGAAGAACCCGAACTTTACTAGGGCTTCAAACCTGTTTGAACCAGTTCAGTTATGGCTGACGAAGTGAAACCGAACAGACTTGAATTTTTACAATTTGAGTGATCCGGGACCATAACCGGAACAGGGAAGATTATGGGTCAAAGCCCTAGAATGGCAGACTCAGAAGAGGCATAGTGAGCCCTTTCAGGAACCTGATGCGTGAAATTGGATTACTGGCAGGACTGTGGAGAGAGACACACATTCAGAGCGGCACCGTCAGCCACCATCTTTGAGCGGGGCATGCCGGTTTCCGGCTCTGCTCAAAATCTGATGCGCAAGAGATTTTGTTGCTATGCCCTTGTTTTCTAAGTGGGAGATTAGGTTTCTAGCAGGGCTTCAACCTATAATTTTTCCTGTTCCTGTTATCATTACGGTTTACCCAAATTTTAAAATTTTAGAAACCGGGTCTGTTCCAGTTTCGCTTCCTCAGCCATGACTGAACTGGGAAGAATCAGTTCAAAGCCCTGAACTTCACTGAAACTGCTGTGGCTAAGCCTCTGGAAACCGAACACAACTAGTATATTAATATCTATAGGCCTCAGGAGGCATTTCATGATGGCAATATAAAAGAGTGGACTGGTAATTCTAATCCAGGCTATATACAGAGTTTTTCCTGCACATTAACTACTCGCGTATACAGGAACACTGAGAATGAAAATGGAGAGAAAGAAGAGAGAGCTTAAGAAAGGGAGGAAGAAAGGAAGAGAGGCAAAGCAGAGAGGGAGCGAAGGCTGAAGGAAGAGAGAGGAGAAGAGAGAAAACTAAACGAAGGAAAGGGGGAGGAAAGGGGAAACGGAAAGGAGGAGGAGGGAGAAAGAGAAGTATAAACACACACTCAGATTATAAATTCCAGATGTTAGAATCACTTTGCCAGCAAAATCTTCAAATGATGAGATGAATTCCCAGATGAACTATGAACTAGTAACAACAAAGCTAGCATAGTATTTGATAGATTAACAAATATTGTTTGGTATAAATAAGATTGTGATCTTCAACTGTTACTAAGTATCTACACTTCAATCATCAAGAGTTCCTTAAGGGTGGGGCTGGTTCTTCTTGGGCCAGTGCAGTCCCATTGCCTAGCACACAGGTAGGCACTAAAAACAGTGCTACTCTTTTCTCATCTACCTTACCTATGATCTTCACGTTAAGGAAAGCATTCTGCACTGGGGGTTCATAGATGAACTTGGGAGGGGGGAGGCTGTGAAGCCCCTGAAATTATATGTGATTTTTGTATGTACATTTTTCTAGGGAAATATTCCGTAGCCTTTATCAGCTTCTCGAAGCAACCAAGACTCAAAAGGTCAAAAATCACTTCTACCATACTACTTTATTTTACCACAAGGTAGAAATGGAAAGGACTGATAATTTAATTTCACTATAGGGTCGCTCATCTATGAGTCGGAATTCACTCACTGGCAGTGGGTTTCGTTTTGGTTTTTACCGGATCGCTACGAGTCAATTGTCTCAACGGCAATGGATTTGGTTTTTTTGAGGTCCTCCCCCCACACACACTGGAGAAGGTAGAAACGGAGGTTTCAAGATCTCCCTAAGTAACAGGGTTTATTCTGAAGGAAAAACTCATGTCATCTGACTTCCATTTTTGTCTGGGTGCCAGCCTATAAGAGAGCTGGCTTTTTTGTTTGTTTTAAAATCAACTTTATTGAGGCATAATTTACATTCAATAAAATGCATCCATTTTAAGTGTACAGTTCAATGTGTTTTGACAAATGTGCACACCAGGTTAAGCACCACCACAACTAACATTTTCATCACCCCAAAAATTTCAGAGAAGGCAGAGTATGAAGGGACATAATTTCCTTCTTATGCCAGCAACATTTAATTTTTTTCTGCACTATGGAGGGCTGTTTCATAATTAGCCTCAGAAGTTTAGGAGCTTACTGAACTCTGGATATATGACTCGACATAGGTGAATTTCTTCTGCAATTGGCTTTCTCCGCTAAGCAACACAGAACTCTTGAATAGAAGTTCTTTAATCACTAATTACTTACGGGCACTGTTGTTATGGTCATAAACTGGAAATACCCCTCTGAACTTATGTCATGACTTTATTGTGAGGTATCCAATTTTTATCTGTACTAAACCTGATACAGAATGCAGGTCAAATATCACAACTCAATTTTCAGATAGTGAAATAGACCCTCAATATTACCATAGTTCACAGAACCAGGTAACAATTTTCACTGTTACTTTCATTAGAGAAAAATAACTCAGTCTTATATGAGTTATTTGGACTGACAAAAGAATGTTAAGGCAGACTAATCACATCAGAAATTATGCAAAAGTTTCCATCTTAGCAATGCAAAAAAATTAAAAATAGCATGAAAGTTTTTCTGAGAGTTCCTATTACTAGATTAATAAAATAAAACATTTTCAAGGTTCTAAATTTAGAACAATAAAATTTAGAACTGGAAGGAATCTTAGAAATCACCCATTCCAACTTCTTTTTACTAATGAAAAAACTGAGATAAAAGTTTTATTTGAGGTCACAAAAACTCACTATTGCCATAGCCACAATTAGAATTTAGGCAGTCTGACTCCTGATCACGTAAACTAAAATAAATAGCTTGATAAAATAATACTATTAAAAAACAGAGAATAAAACAATTATAGAGCAAAATACACTCCTTTAATTTTTTTAATATGGAATTGGTTCCATGATAAAAAATTATTCCCTAAATCTGTGGATCTTTACTTTAAAAACCTAATGAATTCTTCAGGGAGGATTATGAATTAAAAAAAAAAAAAAACTAGATAGGAAAATATTTCATGGCCACATTCCAAAGGAGGAGACCAGCTTTTCTGGAGGAGGCCCTAATCCTTCCATAAAAAAAATCTGTTGCCATGGAGTTGATTCCTACTCAAAGAGACCCCATGTGACAGAGTAGAACCTGCCTCATAGGGTTTTCTAGACTGTAATACTTATGAAAGCAGATTGCCCGGTGAGTTTGAACTGCGAGCCTTTGGGTTAGCAGCCCAGTGCTTAACCACTTGGCCACCAGGGTTCCTTTAATCCTTCCATAACCTCCCCTAATCTGGAGTCCAGGGAAGTCCAGAGTTGCAACCAAGGAGTTGTGTTGAATTACTGCCAAAAGAAGGGGTGACTAAGCCTCGCTGAAATTCCAGGGAGTGGACCCTGTCCCCTTCTCAGCTGTCAGCACGATCAGGAAAGCATGGAAGTGTCTGCTGGGGCCACTATGAGCACATGGCACCCCAGCACCATGCCCACAGTCACACCACACCAGCTTCCTGGGCTAGCGGGAAGTTCCACATCACTTGCTCACACAGTGTCCATTTATAACTACAAAAGGAAAAATGATGAGTCTCGTGTATGATTCTCAGTTATCTGTTTCCTAAAGTTGTTTCATAGTTGGAATTTTTAAACATTTTTATTCACATGGAATCAGATACCTTGTACAATTTCTTAAGTCTAGCAACATTTAAAGATATAGTTATGAATACGTTTTGAGGTAGTAAGGTCCCAAAGATAGGGACTATTTTTTCTTTGCTATGTGAAAAAACAAAAACAAAAAACCAAACCCGTTGCCCGTGGAGTCGATTCTGACTCATAGGGACCCTATAGGACAGAGGAGAACTGCCCCATAGAGTCTCCAAGGAGCCCCTGGTGGATTCAAACCGCTGACCTTTTGGTTAGCAGCTGTAGCTCTTAACCACTACACCGTGATGCTCTGCAATTATAAGTGATATCATGTCTGCAAATGAGAGATAATCCATGTCCTCAAAATAATACAAACGATGTGTACATAAAATGGAACTTCTTTGGCAGCATCCAACAAGAACAAGTCTGCAAATCTGTAAAAATAATCTATAAATCCGAAGGCGTATTATTATTTAAATACAGTAAATTCTCAGTTATCTAGAAGAGTCAGGGAAGAGGTGTTTTGTTTACCGGAATATTCTGATTAAGAATATTTCTACCCACATACATAATTGTATTACTAATTTTCTGGGAATTAAGTTGCTTTAATCCACTTAGCATTAAAAGTACACATTTTTTGAAAGTAATTCTAGAGGCACTTTAAGATCACTAACCCACTGCCGTCGAGTCGATTGCAACTCATAGCAACCCTATAGGACAGAGTAGAACTGCCCCATAGGGTTTCCTTCCAAGGCTGTAGTCTTTACAAGAGCAGACTGTCATACCTTTCTCCCAAGGAGTGGCTGGTAGGTTCAAACTGCCGACCTTTTGGTTAGCAGCCAAGCTCTTAACCACTGTGCCACCAGGACTCCTGCAATCACTAGGCACATTTAATATCGGTGCCCTGCAGGTGCTTCCAGAAATATTTTTTAAGGCCCTAGTATCGGTTATTTGTGCAATATTAGTGATCAAGATTTCTGACTTAGGTTGCTATACAAATCAACTTTCATAGATGCATGTACTACTCAAAAAATATTTTTAAAATGACCTTCAAGATGGCATACAAACATTGAATGTGTTGGAATGTTTGCTGTTCTTTGGTACAGAACACACAGTTCTTTTTCCTGTTGTTACAGGCTATAGTACTCAGTAGGTTATACCAAGATAAAGGAGCTTTTCAAAATCATATGGGATAGATTGAAGTTTAAAAATGCAGATGATGCAACATCACATATTTTTATTACTGAGTATTTTTTTTTTGACTTGCATAATGTATTGCTTGATGTCATAAATCAAGAAATAATGGGATGGAGTTATATGAATCTCAGACCTTCATTTTAGGCTACAAATAATCTTCCATATAGAAATTGGCTAAATACTTGTGTTACACTGAAAATGTGTCTTTAAAATATCAACCATTGGATGAAAATGAAGAAATTCAGTCACTCATCAGGCTATTTGTCCATGCAAAGCCAATGATTTGGCTACTTGGAAAAATTCAGAGTTTGGACTGAATTTTCTAGTATCCACTCTGGGGATTATTTAAACAAATTGTGTACAGATTCAGAAGAGAAACTTAGGTAACCTCAGAATGTTTTGCCATGTGCCTGCTGGAACAGAATCATACAAGTAGGTACTCCCTCTACTTGGGGAGCAAGAGAAACAGTACCACTCCTAGTGTGAATGCTTGTCTTAACTTTCATAACGCATTTAAAATGAAGTGAAGGAAAAAAGTGTGGCAACACTGTCCTGTCCACAATCAACACGTGGAAAGGTTAACTTACAAACTGAACATCCTGAGACCTTAAAAGACATCTTGGCAGCTTTCCCCTTTCCTGGCTAATCTCCTACACCCATGCTTCATATATAAGTGGGCTTGTTCCAAAATAGGGAGACTGATACTAATGTATGGCAGCTGGCAGCAGCCTCATTACTTCTATAACCACACCTGGTCTAAGCAGCACACCAGACCCAGCTTAAATTGCAAGTCTTTTGAGGAAAGGGATGTTATATCTACACTTGGCTTAGTGTACAATCATATGCATTGGTGTTTCACAAATACTTGATGGTCATGATGGTAAACACAGAGGCCAAATGCCAACCTCTCCAAATTTCACTGGGGGTTTCTACAGGCAGCTGAGGGCTGTTAACAGGCCAATTACACCATTTCCATAGTTAAGAGTTTCTTCTAAATGAGTCAAAAGACTAAGGGAGAATTTATCTTTCAACTCCTGCTAAATGTATTGCATTCCTTCTCTCCCAGGCTATTTTGGACCCTCCAGAAATAGCCTGGGAGAGAAGGAATGCATTAAGCACCAGAGAAGCAGGAGGGGTGGAAACTAATTAAACAGCAGGCAGGTGAACTGAGCACTCAGGAAGGCAGCCTCTCTCGCCTGAGTCCACTTTGCACCGGGATTCGGGATTCTGCTTGCTCTGCTATAACAGCCTGAATCAAAATTATGAAGCCAAACCAACGATTCTATACGCAAGAAGGGCATGACTACCAGTTCTGGGGGTGGCAGTTTCACAGTATCCTTATCTTCCTTCTCCTGGGCATTGGCAATACTGATTTTCCTAGCTCGGCCTCACTTTTGGCTGAGCCAGATTTGCGAAATCTTGGAGACAGTCTTACTTTAAAGCAGTGGCTCTCAACTTTGGCCGCTCATTAGAATCACCCGGGGAGTTTAAACATCTTCATCCCTGGACCCCACCTCAAGAGATTCTTAGTTAACTCCTTTGGGGTGGTGCTCAGGCATCAGTATTCTTAAAGAGCTTTCCTGGTGATTCTAAATTGCAGCCAGAGCTGAGAACCACTGTAATAAAAAGTCAGCAATATTTGTCTTTCATACTGCTTTATATTCCATTTAACTGATTACTCTTTTAAGTTTTTCTTCTTTTGTTTACTTTCTTCCTGCCTGTAGGGTCCCTATCAGTGGAATCGACTCGATAGCCACGAGGTTTTTTGTTTTTTACTTTTCAAATAGAAGTGAAAGAACTTTCCGTGCTCCAAGGCAGGGCAAGACATGACAAGAGCTGGCTAACATCAACAGGGCATGCCTGATTTTGTATCATAAGAATGCTGTAACGTAAGACTGATGGTTTTGATTCATTAAAGCAACCAGAAACATCTTGAACTACAGGCACCCTTTATTCCCCAATGCCCTTGATCCTCTTTAGAAATATATCAAAACAAAACAGAATTGCTATATGCTTATTTTACTAGAGAAACGGGACTAAAGAATTCTAGAATTTTAGATAGTTGCTCTCCCATAAGAAAATGCTACCCTGATAGGAAATTGCTTAATTTCACATTTCTGAAGCTGTTTCTGTATGGTTCAACAGAGTTTTCCTGGAAAGCACTTTTCATTTTTAACATAATAGAATGACCAGATGTGAAATTAAGAGAAAAACAGATTTTGAATTTCCCTTCTCACCTTTTTAAAGGGAAAAACCTATCTCCTGAGTGCTTCCTTGATTTATTCCAGGATTTTTTCAAAATTTCATTCTTAACAACAACAACAAAGTTTCTACTCCTTGGGATTCATTTACCAAATTAGCAATAACCATTAAATATCTACTCCATTAGGGCTTCACCCTGCAACTCTCTCCCTCCTCCCACCATTGCATATATAGGTCTACATGAATCCAGTATCTCAAAAAGCCATTATACAAACCACTTGAATCATTTCTCAAGGAGAATCTCTTTTAATTAAGCAGTAAAGGGTGGCACAAGTCCAGAAACAGATGAAACTGTGACAGTGGTGGTCAGGGAGTAAGAGCTGCTGGATGGGTACTAGCAACCTTGTGGACAGCTCAGCTCAGCTTCCAGCAGGCCTGTCCTCCAGGGTGGGCCCGGCCTTCTCAGTGCCTGCTTCAGGAATACATGGTCAGCTGCAGCCATTCTTGGATAGACACCTGAATGAGGCCATCGGCATCTTGATCCAGAGACTTGAAGGAACGAAACATGGCATCCAGGCGAACTAGGCAGCTGATGAAGTTGTTAAAATCCATATTCCCATCCTCATCGGCATATCGGCGGACAATCATCTGGTAGAGTTGTTCATCTAACTGGAAGCCCACTGCCTGCAGAGCATCCCGCAGCTGAGAACTTCCCAGATACCCGGAATAGTTGGTGTCACATTGTTTATAAACACACTGCCATTTCTTGATGTTGTTCCACAGATACTTAAATTCTTCAAAGCCCAGCTTCCCGGTCATGTCACTGTCCATGACAGATACAATGCTCCGGCACGTGTCAAGACTGAAGCCGTCGGTCTTCAGATCCCTGTGCTTAGCAAGGACTCTGTTGAGAATATTCATCAAGTCAGTGGCACCTACCTCCATGTCCGGTCCAGCCAGTTGTGCAAAGTGCTGCCGAAACAGCTTAACTTCCTCACTTTCGTTGGCCTCCACATAGGTGAAATGCTGCCGAGGGGGAGGCGGTTCTGGAGTATACTGAGCTGCTGCAGCCTCACTGACAAAATTCACAATTCCTCCAACTATCCCTCTGATATTTCCTCCTCCTACTGCTGCTCTTTGACCACCTCCTCCAAGAAGGCCTCCAAGAGCTTCTCCAAGACCTTGATCTGCCCCTTCCAATAAAGCCTTTGCAAGAAACATGCTTTCAGCTTAATGAGCAAGTGTAAAAGCTGCCAGAATCTTGGAGATGGTATGGAGAGAGCTGAAATGGAGTCTAAGTAGCTCATATGTGGAAGAACTGGTTTTTCTGCACCTGCTTAAATTGCACCACACCCTGTATATGATGATGTCTCACCTTAGATTTGAATTGCCTGAATTCCAATAGGTCCTAGCACCTGCCATTTTTTATAGGGCCTCAATAAAAGTGTTTTCCACTCTTTTAAATGCTCATAAATTATAGCATGAATGACACATTCAAAGATACTAATATTTTTAAAAGGAAAATATAAAACTCTACATTGTAAGAATCTAATGTTATATAAAATATGTTATAAAATCTGTACCGATATAAAAATGAACATTTCTATAGTTCTTTGATTTCTTACTTCTCTCTCTCTAAGCACCTGAAAGATGGCATGCATCTTCCTGACTGGAGAGGTAAATTACTCATGGATGTCTTTTCTAAAGAATCTTCATTGTTAAGAGTAGAATTGAAAAATTCTTGGACATTGGAAAGATATTTACCTAATAGCCCTCCTTCCACAGAAGTTCTCAAAATTCAATGTGCCAAACAAAAACATGGAAGTGGGATTCTTACTAAAATGCAGGCCCCCCAAGTCCTACCTCCGGAGATTCTGGTTTAGTGCATCTGCTTTGGGGCCCATGGATCTACACTTTGGAAACTTTATGAAGTGTAACATTCATACAAAATAATGTATCAATCACAACTCTGTTTGAGGAAAAATCAGAAAAGAGAACAAAGAAAAATGAAGAGACGCTGAGAATTATGTGGGATATAATCAAAAGCAAAAATCTGCGAGTGATCGGAGTTCCAGAACAGGGGGAAAAAACAGAAAACACAGAGAGGATCATTGAAGAACTGCTGACAGAAAACTTCCCCAATATCATGAAAGATGAAAAGCTGGTCATCCAAGAAGCTCAACAAACTCCATATAGGATAGACCCCAAAAGAAAATCACCAAGGCATATCATAATCACATTTGCCAAAACCAAAGACAAACAAAGAATCCTGAGAGCAACTAAGAAAAACAAAAAGTCACATACAGAGGAAAAACAATAAGACTAAGCTTGGATTATTTGGCAGAAACCACGCAGGCAAGAAGGCAATGGGATGACATATATAAAACCTTGAAAGAAAAAATTGCCAGCCAAGAATAATATATCCTACAAAACTCTCGTTCAAATATGATGGTGAAATTAGGTCATTTCCAGATAAACAAAAATTAAGGGACTATGTAAAAACCAAACCAAACTTACAAGAATTATTAAAGGGAGTCCTTCGATCTGAGAACAAACAACATCAGCTCACAGGCTGAA